CAATTGTTAAAGGGTAATTCACAAATATTAGGTTATTTAGGTAATTAATTAAACATTAACATGCTCGAAGATTGAAGCACTGAAAATTTTTAATTTAAAGGATTAAATTTAGGTGCAATATTGAAATTAAATATTAACAATTGATTCCAATTTTTAAAGGGTCATTTACAAACATTCAATTATCTGTTTAATTAATTTATGATTAAAATGTTCGAATTGTAATGTGACCTTGGCCGGGGAATTAAAATATAATAATTCCCGGCGAAGACACGATATTGGGGAATTTACGATATTCTGAAAAATTAGGGAAATTGATTATAACTGACGGGAGGACCTGAAATAATAAAAAAAGGGGGGGGGGGTTGAAATGATTACTCGGAGGGATTTATGAATTGACTATCTGTATTCTGATCTCATAACACAATATTAACACAAAAAATAATCCGGGCCTTTTGACTAATAACTCGAGGGTGGGGAGTAAGGCCAACTCACTTGCGGCTACGCGAAATATTATATAATAAAAAGAGGGGGTGACCCTAACTCTGGAAAAAGGGGGAAAAGTGAGGGGGGCCGACTGAAAAGGTAGTCATTAATGGGGGGCTTAATTTACAACTAACATGAATGTATTGGAGGCTCACCGTTGGGGGGAAATTAACACGGGCAGGGAAATTCGTTGGGGCAGGGAATAAAAAATGGCGCACTCACGGGGAATGGTGTCTTCTCAAAATCCTCTCGGTTTTCCTCGGTTCCTCTCCGCAAGATTCAGCCGCACAGTCTTCCTCTCACAATTCTCTCACGAGTTCCTCAAAATAATATCCTTTTCTCACAATACACGCAATCTTTCTATCTTCCTCAATAGTTCCTCTCACACACACAATTTAGTCCTTCACACTCTTTCTTCTTCATTAATTGTCCCTCTTACACAATATTTACACAGTATTCTAGAACAGTTCTCTTCACAGGGTTTCTTCCACTTTTACTCCTTATTAACACTTTTTCAGGGTCTTTTCTGGGCACTTCTTCACGGGATTCTTTGGGGTAACTTTGTTGCTTTATGAGGCAGTGACTCGTGGGGCAGCGGTGGCACGAGTGAAGGCTGCCAATCATTTTCACTTCTTCTTTCCTGGTTTTGGGGGGGGCCATCGGGTGTCCTTCTTCTTCTCATCTGGGGGGCTCGCATGGGGGATGTCTCTTTCTTCCGGGGTCACGTGGGATCCTCTTCCTTGATGCGTGAGTGCTAGGGCGGGGGGAAATGGGGACGGGGATAGGGAATCTCTGGGGATGGGTTGACCAACGGTGGTGAAAAAAGAGTAGCTTAAATCTAACTTAACCTAGGAAAAATAAGCTGTTTCAATTAGGGGGAAGGGGGGGGGGCGCAAAATTCTGCCTCATCACAGTAAATATTGAAAAATTAACTGAACTAAGATTTTTAATTTGGTTGTTATATTCAAATCATTGAATTAGTAACAATCGATTCCAATTGTTAAAGAGTAATTCAAAAACATTAGGTTATTTAGGTAATTAATTAAAGACTGGAATGCTCGAAGATTGAAGCACTAAAAATTTTTAATTTAAAAGATTAAATGTAGGTGCAATATTGCAATTAAATATTAACAATTGATTCCAATTGTTAAAGGGTCATTTACAAACATTAAATTATCTGTTTAATTAATTTATGATTAAAATGTTCGAATTCTAAATATTGAAAAATTAACTGAACTAAAATTTTTAATTTATTCTTTTATTTTTTTATTTTTTCATATTTCCTTTTTTCCTATCACCATTGTTTTCTTACCATGGTTTGATAGGCACCCCTTCGTCTTAGCCTTTTTAGCCTTTCCTACTATCCTCTCTTATTTTGCCTCTCCTACTATCCTCTCTTTTATTATTGCGGTAGCATGGGCCGACTTTCCATTTTTCTGCGCCCATTTGGCTTGTACTGAGGGAAACTATGTAAAACCTCAGTAGCGCAGCCGGCCGGTAATGCGGGGATTCTGCTGTGTTCATCAGTCACAATGACTCGGTGAACACACCAGCTCTCCGCATACGTGCCTGACGTCGGTAGTCTACACGCCGAGGGGTGTGACCAAGCGGGCACCCATCCAAGTACTAACCCAACTGAGCGTTGCTTAGCTTGGGTGACCGCCGAAGTCACACACCGCCCGCGTGGCTACTGTCGCCGCTTTAAAATTTTTAATTTGGTTGTTATATTCAAATCATTGAATTATTAACAATCGATTCCAATTGTTAAAGAGTAATTCACAAATATTAGGTTATTTAGGTAATTAATTAAAGACTGAAATGCTCGAAGATTGAAGCACTAAAAATTTTTAATTTAAAAGATTAAATTTAGGTGCAACATTTAAATTAAATATTAACAAATGATTCCAATTGTTAAAGGGTCTTTTACAAAAATTAAATTATCTGTCATATAAATTATAATTAACTTATGATTAAAATGTTCGAATTCTAAATATTGAAAAATTAACTGAACTAAAATTTTTAATTTGGTTGTTATATTTAAATCATTAAATTATTAACAATCGATTCCAATTGTTAAAGGGTAAGTCACAAATATTAAATGACTTGACGCTCTTTGATTGGCTTACAAGCACGGGCTCCATCCTAGTTCATGCGCCACCGCTACGGACCCGTGCGGCTGAATTCCGTAAGCGCAGACAATTTCCCCTATACTTACTAGTTTTATTTCCTAGAACAGCCCACCCAAACAGCACTAGGGAATAGTAACGCTCTCGAAATAAAACTCTTGAAATAGTGAATTCTTATCTGTTGCTATGGAGTTATTTTTGTAATAATGTAATAAGTGAAAAAAGTATAAATCTCATCAGAAAGATCAACCGCGGTTTAGATAATGTATCTAAGAATGCTTTTGCAAAAGAGCGTGCGTTTGAAGGGGAAAAAAGCAATTGAAGTTTTTTTAAGGGGTTAGGGGCAAGTTGTTAGCTGAAATATCAGGGACTTGGAACGCATTCCGGTTTGAATTTCGTTCCAGGGGCTCGGAACGAAACGAACTTGTATCGTTCCGAGTTAGAAGTGAAACTCGGAATGAAAGTCGTGGAACGAAATGCTCGAAACCAAACTCGGAACGAAATGTCTGGAACGTTTCGGCTAGGAACGAAACCCGGAACGAAATTATTGGAGCGTTCCAGCTTGGAACGAAACCCGGAACGAAATGTCTGGAACGTTTCGGCTTGGATCGAAACCCGGAACGAAATGTCTGGAACGCTTCGGCTTGGAACGAAACCCGGAACGAAATGTCTGGAACGTTTCGGCTAGGAACGAAACCTGGAACGAAATTATTGGAGCGTTCCAGCTTGGAACGAAACCCGGAATGAAATTCGGCGGAGAATGGAACAGTGAACGGAAAATGGAGCCGCTACGATTTTGAAAAAAAAAAATGTTATATCGATTAATATTTACGGGTTTTGTGCGATGCAAAACCGAATTTAGCGAGGAAAGAATGAGAAAAAATAATTTTATATCATTTTGAAGGGTTTTTGGTTTTTTCAAATTTTTTCAAATATTTAAAACGATTTTTAGAATGAGAAAGAAAATTGAAGAAACACGTGTTTTAATTAATAAAAATCAGGAGTCTTGGAAATATTTTCGACGTTAAAACGAACAAGAGCCCTGTTGTGACAGATCAGAGGGAATAATGGAAACATTTAGGCTGTTTATACGAAACAGCCCAACACGTGGACCAACCCCATAGATAAAGGGCCTTGTCTAATGGGTAGACCTGACACCCTGGGCGATTTGGTGACGGAGGACACTTGGAGACGAACTTTCGAGCAAGCAACATTAAAGTTATCACAATCAACCCAGCTTATATTATATCGAGTCTTTTAACCAAAATTTAATTGTTAACAATAAATGGAAGATCGGATTAATTAATTAAATAATCGTTAAATATTTAGTCTCCTACAGGAGATTGCTTTAAAACGGCTTCTCACGAACATCATTCCAAGCGAGAAATTTTTCACACTTTGATTCCCTGCTGGAACGTTCCAGACATTTCGTTCCGAATTCCATTCCAAGGTGTATCGTTCCGCGATTTTCGTTCCGGGTTTCGATTCAAGCCGAAATGTTCCAGACGTTTCGTTCCGGGTTTCGTTCCAAGACGAAACTTTCCAGACATTTCGTTCCGGGTTTCGCTCCAAGCCAAAACGTTCCAGGCATTTAGTTCCGGGTTTCGCTGCAAGCCGAAACGTTCCAGACGTTTCGTTCCGTGTTTTGTTCCAATCCGAAACGTTCCAGATATTTCGTTTCGGGTTTCGTTCCAAGCCCAAACATTCCAGACATTTCGTTCCGAGTTTCGTTCCAAGCCGGAACGTTCTAGAGATTTCGTTCCGAGTTTCGTTTCGCTCTTCAAACGTTCCACGGAACGAAATGCAAAAACGGCAATTTCGTTCCGTTCCAGAGTTTCATTCCAAGTCCCTGTGAAATATAATACACGACAGCTCTCTGCCTGTGACGTCACCTCTGCCTGTGACATCAACATGGCAGATACGCTATCGCGTATCTTGATGTTGTAATCAATCTTCATTATATCAAGAGTTCTGTTAGCAATAATTTATTAAATTTTACTGTATACGCTTCTGCCAAAATACTTTCTTAGCATTTTTTTTAACTTTCCCGTAACGTGAATATACATTAATACAAAATATTGTTAGTACTACCTGTAAGGTAGTCTGAACACACCAATGCACTGGATTTTACTGGTGGTGTTTTTATAATGATTTACACATTTTTATACTAAAAACTTTAATGCGTCGAATAGGAGAATGGCATTCCGAGAAAACCAAAGTAATCAAGCTTTCGGTCAGAAAGGCAATAACAAAAAAGCTACTCTATTTTAGGAATTAATCATGGAATGAATGAACAAGTGTTAGAAGTAATTTGTGATTATAGTTGACCAGGTTATGAACGGTTCATTGGTATCAGTAATGAATTGATCATTTTGTTTGTTTCTGTTTTAGATAGGCTGTGTTACCAAAGCATGGACATATTTCCTTCCTAAATTCCAATCTTATCTCTTGGAGTTACCAATGTACTCATCATACGCCAGCGATGGACTTCATGGCCGTAAATATGGAGAAAGGTACCTTCGTGATAAAACTTATGATCATCGTCCAGAAGTTCAATGATGTTGTGTTAATTTCCAAAGTGCAATCGGAAACTTACAATTCAGTTCCGCAATATTAGTGACATCTGTTGAATTATGCCGATAATTACCGCTGGTTTTCGTTTTTGTAACATGAAGAATAGTTCGCAATTAAAGATATCCAGCTTTTCTGATGGCATAATTTCTATTTTCACATTATTCAAATGTATTGTCAATATGCGTGATGAATGTTTTTCGAGAACCCACCTAGCATCTCTGAGCAGGAGACTCCACGTTTCATCCATCCCAATAGGTTAAATACCTATTGAATACCATGATGATCTGAGAAGGAAGCACTGTGTTTATCACATTGGAATTTACCCCAGGATAAAGTTTGATTGTACATATGCTTGAATTATTTCCTATAACATTGTGACGTGGCACGCAGATTTTTCCTCAAGTATTTCCTCCTAAGCTGACTTTCCCTCGTGGAAAAAACTCGCTGCAACAGTCCTGTGGACCACAGTCACAATCAGGTTGGAAATCCCACAGAAGGTGTTTTTTTGGCACAAGATAATTATTAGTCGCGATTTTGATTTTATTTTTAAGGGTCATGAAATTCGAAGACATATTTCAATTTATCAAAAAAAACTTGATACTTCTTATGCAGTAATCTCTATTATTATTTGGGAACCTAAAATTGTAATGAATACATTTGTGATTGAATCAGATTGAAATAATAGACTATGCAAAAGAAGAAAAATGATGAAAGATTTGGTGATTTTAAAGCATAGTAATACCTTGCCTTTCATTGGATTTTCCCAGAACTTCTTTTCACAATTTACCAATTTATATGCGGGAAAGCTCTTTCGATACTCATCTATTATATTATATCTATTATATCTATTATTCACCTTCTGCTACTCTGTAATTAATAAGGTACTTACAGTGAGAAGGTTTCACTCAACAAGTCGATCCGTTTATCTTCTCATAATCTCTCTGAGCTCCTCATCTACTTCGCGTGGAAATCAATCTTCAACTCAGAGTTTGTGGCTTGATTCATTTGAATTACACTAACCCTACAGTTACTCAACTAATTTCTTAATCTAAATCTTAGATATCACCTTGGGGTTATTTCATGATGTCAGTCGTCACTAGACTGATCACTCATTCCTCTTTTTTCCCTTCGCATAATCGATATTAAGGCTGGACATTCCGCACTATTATGTGGAGTTTTGCCCCCAAGTTTTTTTTTGTGTGTTATATCAAGTCTTTCCTGATATATAAAAACTTGATTGTAGTAAACTGTGACGTCTGCAGTACTGAGTCACTCCTGCTTCTAACATTGTAGACAGTCTAATTATTTTTCTTTGTTTTAACACAATTTTCTGACTTACTTTCTTTTCTAGTAATACAACCTTTGTCACAGAAATGACCTCATATACCAGGACAAAGACCGCTCTCATGTGGCAAAGAAACTCTCAAAACCCTGAACACAACACATAAAGGTGTCACGCTATGGAAATACTTCCATTTTCATATATTAGGAATAAACGTTTAAAAGAAACTTGAAACTTAACGTATCTAATATTTACGTCGTTACGTTCGTATATATCTAAACAAAAAAAGTAACAAAGCACTCATTCTCTTTTTATACCAATTTCACTCTAAAATAATTTACCTTACTCTCCCCACTATGCTTATTTTACAACCTTTGTAAGTTAAATCGTTATAAACTTTATCGGATTCCTAATTCAAATTTATAGCTCTGCTCTGAGCTACCCGGAGGCTGCCCATGTGTGGTATATTCAAATTTTCGTCGTCAATGAAGCAAAACTGTATACCATGGAAAAGGTGCCACAACTGTATTTTACGGTGTATCGTGAACCTTCAAACTGAATGAGTATATTACGCAACAAGTGCGGTATGGGTATTTTGGGTTATGAAAAGTTTGTACAACGATCCGAAGGCGAATTTTGCTATCCCACGATTCAAAAAACTAACACACGAGTTGCATATAGTATTGAATGTTATAGGCATCATAGAATCTTATGACATCAATTAAATACTTGAATTGCATCCGAAATTAATCCTTCTTGTTTGCTAGAAAAACGATGGCCAGTATTGGGAATCAGCAAAGTAATAGTATATTATGCAACACGTGCGTAATATATTTTTTGACTCGTGGGAGGCTTGTAACACGAGCCGAAGGCGAGTTTTACAATCCCACGAGTCGAAAAATATATTACGCACGCGTTTCATACCAAATTTTATGTCATCGCGCCCGGAATCCGCCATTTAACCGAGCGAAGCGAGGTTAGAATCGCGCGATTACGGGCACCGCTGGCATAAAACTATTTAATCATTCGATATTCATTTGATAATTTAATATTTATTACAGTAAAGATGCTACAGCCACCCCAGAAGAAGTCATGTGATGTTATTATTAAAACGAAGAATTCTCGTCACCTGGGCACATTGTCAATAATTATGTAATTATTACCGAACGTCGGTGGCCGTGTAATTAAAGCGCCGGGTTGGCATATGGATAACTAGGGTTTGCTTCCCGATCGTGGGGATGCCAAAAAGCATCTTTATCGCTCTAATTTACACGGTTTTATCGTCAGAGCGGTAGTCTCAAAAGTTTTCTCTTCGGTTCTCGACGTATCTGCTGCACAGGTTAGATTGAGGAGAAGAACAAAACAAAACAACCCAAAAAGGTATATATCTAAAATAGACAATAGTTATGTAATTATTTCAAATTGTGTATTGAAAAGCTACATTAATAAAGATAAAGTTTTGCCTGCTGAAGTTGACAATTATTATATATTTGTTGAATCTCATTGAATCGTCTACGCACATGGGACCTAACAATTACTGGCAGTTTTAAATCAGTTCTTTGAATCGTTTATTGTCGAAAATTTTGGCCCTAACCACCATTCATATTTATAAAACTTCACTGCCATACCGATCGGGATACCGTGGCTCTGATGTACAGGCTTCTTCGTCTTCCACGAAGAGATTTTATTAAATTCAGTAGAAGATGTGAGAGTGTTATGAAGAAAAGATGAAAGAAATAGAGCCAGTCAACAAGCACAAGCTATTGGAGGAGTCTTCTCTCTTGATATATGTCCCACAGGTGTTCCACAGTCCTACCGACCCTCGGGGAAAATTAAGGAAATGTAGGATTTATATACGGGCCAACCGGATCCAAAATATTATATTTTTTCCTACAACTGTTATTACTCTTCAGACAACAATTTAATTTCCCCCTTTTAGTGCTACAAAACGATTTCAACTGATAAACATTGAAATACAAGGCGGTGAACCAAATTTAACACCTGTAACGTGGCCAATTTTCCGTTGATGGAAAGCTGAACGTCATCCGCCATTCTTCCCTCGATCTTATAAAAAATTATGGGCGCCAGTTGATCTTTTATGAAGTCGGAACCAACAAACCGTACTAAAACCAAAGCGGAACCAAATTCCCCAGAAACGGAACCAAAACGGAGATTAAAAACAAAAAAAACGATCGGAGGAAAGGTGGTAGTCTCCCGCGATGCTCAGGGGTGAGGTTGTGGAGAGAGGGGTGAGTCGGGATGGAAACGAGGTTTGGGCACCGGAACTTAAATAATAGAAAAAGAAAAGAGAAGCTCGATTCGGTAGTTGAACTCGTAGATGTATTTATAAGGAAGAATCAAAAATACAGAGAACAGAAAAAGAAATAGAACCCAAGGTACAGGGCACAGCAAAAGGATTCACGGGGAGCAGAAGGGAAAGAGGAGGAGAATATCCTCCGCGAATCCGCAGGGTCGTCATAAGCCTTAACAACAATAAAAAAAAATAGTGTGACGCCAATAACACCTTGCGAGATGGTAGGCGGAAAAAAAAATATCGTTAATCCTAATAAATCGTAGCAAGAACAATCGGGCGTACCGTACGCAGGGGCGACGAGAGAGGCACGTAATTTTCTCACCATCAACCGAAGATTTCCCCCCTAACGAAAATTTTACCTATAACCGCGGATCCGAGGTCATGGCAAATGTTTTACCCAAAAAGAAGGAGAACGCGCAGGTGGCCAATGTCGAGGGCCATATGAGGCAGCGGGCCCTGGTGAAAAATCTAACGGCCCTGGGGCAACATAAGCCGAGCATAGTACTCGGAGAGCACGTGGCGAAGAAGAAAACCCAAAACACACGCCAAAAAGGGAATTTATACAAAAAATTAACGGGAGGGGAAACACATTCTCTTTTTTTTGGCGGTGCAACCGCATAGCCACTAGGGCAGGGGAAATGGGGAAAAATACAATCGCAACCGAAAAATACCAATCAAATCCTCATCTCATTTATTGCCCGATATGTGAAAAGAAAACTGGGAGCCGGGGAGATGTTCCCAGCTCGGTAGCTCGTTGACGACATCCCTACTAGTTTTTCGGGTTTTCTGGGCAGATCTGGAGACGCTATTTCACCTCCCAACATCGCGACAGTGGGTACGATGAAGGGAACGCGAAAAGGAATACGATATTCCTCGAAAAATATTAATTTGCCAGTGGCATGGCGTTTTACGCGACAAAAAAAAATCTGAGATTATCTCTACATCGCTTTTTGGGTTTCTCGCACTGAGCGAAACTTATCATCTCGCGAGGAGTTCCAAAATAATGAAGGAAAAACCGAACGTGAGAGGAAAAAGTCAAAATACCAAACCCACCACGAAACCCACCATGAAACCTCCCATCAATGAAAACTGCACGCTCACCGGGTTTTCCTCCGTTTTCGGCTTTTTCGTCTTTCCAAAAAGTCCCTCTCAGCTGCTCCGGGCGTGTTCGAGAACGTCCTCGGGATTTCGGCGCCTCCAAACCCGTCCAAAACACCCGAAAAATCTTCTCCTTTCCAAAATGCGGCACAACAAAAAACTTGGCACATGTTTTACCGATGTGAAAACTTCGACTACACGCCACAGGTGGTTGTCGTGTAAAAACTCGAGTGTGGGCTAACCGTCCGGACGGTAAGGCAGACACGATTTTCCCGGGAGGGTTTTCCTCCTATTATCCCGCAGTAAAGGGTTAGCGAATTCCAAAAATGTTAAAAAATCGAAAACGGACCCGTAAACCTATTTTAAAGATTCTATCGCGTGCGATTCTGGCGATCCCCGCAGGGCGTTCCACCAAAAACCAAAAACGTACCCACCCTAGCCCGCGATTTTCGAGACTCTGAATTCCCGATAAAGAGAATTATGATTGTTCGCGGTGCCTGCCCTGGTCTTCGTGCATACTCATAAACTACATAAGCGATTCCTACGGAATTCCTTACACACCAACATATTCATTTGACTATAACCGAATAGACGAACAATCATATCAACCCCTCGGGTGATATTAATTTGGTAGCTCGAGTGTAGCAGTCCTACGTTGGTACACAGGGTGTCTGATTTGAAACAATAGACCTACATATCTCCTGAGGGGGCCAGTGACAGGGAATGTTTTGAGAAATAAGTTGTGCATATCAAACGATTCTAGAAAGCTCTGCTTAGATGAACCTTCACAGTTCGAGCGGAGAGAGCTAGAGCGCCATCCTGTTGAAACAACATTTTCTGTCTCGTCTGCAAGTTCACATTCTCCACCAGTGCGGATAATTGATTACGCAAGAATTCCAGCTAATTCTGACTAGTGGAGTTATTAAGGCATGCATTAAGTATGGGTGAATCTTCAGTTTGATACTAGAATTTTCAGAGGAAAACCCAAAGAATTACAATGAATGATCATGAATGAATGATCACGACTCATCATGACGAACAAGGTTTTGGGAGGGGGGATTATATAGGGGGCTATAATTGGAACGCGTAACGTTTTCCCTCCATGTGAAATAAAGGAAGTGTTTCTCAGCCGCCAGTTATTCGAATACCACGGCTGACCGCGTGTTACAACCTATTAGGTACATCGGGGCGTCCCCGTGGAGGCTTAAGCGACTTTCCGCGGCAGTATCTGTGAAAAATTCCGGGAAGTTCGTCGCAAAATCCCGAGGAAACGTTGAGATCGATCGTTGCTGGGCGAAATCTTCGACTAAACAGTGGTGTGAAAATCCTATTTTTGGAAAACCGAGCTATCCCGGGTCCCATGTCTGGTGGTACTCTCCAATTTTGGGAAAATATTCACGAATTCTCCCCTTCGGAGAGGGTGTTCGTTTGAAACCGAACAGATAAGTCGTGAAGGCGTAAATATATATATAACATATATTGTGACCTTGGCTAGGGAGTAAATATATGAATATTCCCGTCGAAGGCACGAAAATCAGGAACTTTATTCTCGTCTAATTATTAAGAGGGATTTGCTATGATTTATGGGAGGATCTGAAATATGTAATGATTTTTCTCTGTGGCCTCAGTGAATACTCGGAAACCCTAAGCCAAATTTTCGATTTGCCTAAAACACGGCCATAACCATTACCTTCGTTCTCACCACTCCGGTACTCCTAAAACGACAAAACCTTGCAATCTAAAACCCAAACCCCGGGGATGATCAGCAGCAGCTCATCCAATCCGGAAGAAAATATGTAGGGCGCCAGTCAATTTTTAGCAACGCGGAATTAACAAACCGCAACCGTAACTAAATCCGTACTTAACTAAAATCTTACTGACCATCCCCAGAATTCATAAACTCAAAAACTTAACGGAGGAGCCCGGAGTAGCGAGGATACGGGGTTGCCTGGTTGCTTAGTGTGCGGGTCGTGGAGAGAGGGGTGGATTCGTGAACGAGTGCCTCAATTATCAAACTTCGAAATAATATCAAGAACCTGAACTAAAATATTCGGTTATTTATAAGGACGGGGATTCGGATAGGAAAAATAAAACCAATCGGAACTATCCTTACTTGTTTCACTATTGAACACACAAAGAAAAATGAATTTTTTTCCATCAGAAAGCTTACAATTAATATATTCGCTCAGTCTACATTTTATATACGACTGGCATTCGTCCAAAAGAGAAGGATTTACTTTTAATAAAATATAAGGTGAATAATAATTGTAACGTGACATTTCCCCGGTGAAAGGAAAATGCCCATTACCTTAGCCCTACTTCCCCTAAGCCTAATAAACCTGCTAAAATTTAACCAAATGGGCGCCAGGTAATCTTTAACCGGAATTACCAAACCGGAAAATTCTGTAAACCTAAACTTAACTAATCTCGATATTCGTTTGATCGAAAATCGTATCTCGAAATCGTAAAACCTTAACTCAAACTTACTCTCTAAAATCCAAAAAAAGGGAATCCAAAAGGGAACGGAAATGATAGCTAGGCTTTCGGGGAAAGGTGACGGTCCTCGGGTCGCTCAGGATGCCTGTTGTGGAGAGAGGGGCGGATTGTAGATGGGGACAAGGGTATCGGAAAAATCGAGAAAAATACCCAAAAAAGGAAACCGGAGGCGAGAAATAAATTAATGCAACAAAACATTGGGCACGATTCCGATTACATTGGCGCCACAATCTGATGGTGGTTTCCCGTAGTATTTTGTCTCAGGAATTCGGGAAAAAAAATAAAAAAAATCGATCTCTATTATTTATAGTAGTTTTCGATTTTTTAATGTAAAAATTTCAAATAAGACCAACTTATATCCTACAATGTTGGGACGTTGGGGATTGGGGGTGGAGGGCGGGGGGAGGGGCGGGGGGGGTTTCAGCCTTGTCAATAATCAAAATAATTTTAAAAATGTGGAAAATTTTGAGTAGAAATTTTAATTTTTTATTTCAAATTCAAGTTGTGAAAATATTATTATTTATACATTTCAGCTGTATAAACTATAATTATACAGAAGAAGC